TCTGCATACAGTTCATTTGTCATAAGACCTTCAATGAAATACTGAAAATTCCATCAGGGTTAGAGAAACTTGTCAAAAACCAAATACCCAAAATGTGGTTAGTTAAATCAATTTTAGTTTTTCAAGAAAATTTTTAGGGAAGAAAGGCATAAAAATCCAAGAGTTATGGTCAGGACAAAGACTCCTACAGGAAACAGAAGCAATTCGTAGAATTATAAATTCATAGACTAAAGCACACCAACTATAGTTTGTAATTAATTGTGCCTTAATTGTGTGACTTGGGGCAACATACTTTCTTTAACAACTTTAGTTTTTCCACTTACAAATGGGCATACTAGGGCCCAGCTTGCAGCTCTCGTGTAAAGGTCAGCGCAGTGCGGCAGTGCACAGAGCGAACGCTCTGTCAGTGGCGGTTTCTCATGAATTTTTCACATGCTACTAGGAAATGAAGTCAACAGAGCACCTAAGCTCACTCAGCTGCTGGATGTCAGCTTCTCTGAGGATTCCTTTCTTCTTCCATAGCTGTTGGTTCTCAGGTCAATGGTATTTACTCTGAACATCTGACCCTTAGCAATTTTTCTTATCCCAAATTTTTAAAAAAGGCAACAATAAAAAATAAATAATACAATAAAACACATGTAACCCTACTAAGGTATTTAAATATAAACTATAAGTAAAGGTTTGGTTCAGATGTTACAAAAATATTCAGTAGCTAATTTAAAATTCTGACACTTTTAAGTAGGATACTAAAAAGAAATTGCCGCATTTCTTTGAGTCGATATTCTTTCCTTACCTAGGATTTCATAAAAAAACCCATATTTCATGTGACATTACACCTCCTAGTTGTTTCCAGATCTTCTAGAAAATGAATTTTTTCCAAAATAAAAAAAAAAGATCAGAGTGGAATATACATCTTCATGTTCTTTTAAACAATGCAATACAATGAATGAGGAGAAATAAAGCCATGATTTTACATATACATTAAATTAAAAATAACTCATTCATGATTGATTATGATTTGCCATCTATTGCTGGGCATAAGGCTCATAGCAGTTTGTCATTGTTGCAGAATTCAAATGAGAACTTTCCTTATTTGTTTTGCTTTGTTTTTCAGATAAGATAAACACTTAACGGTCTTCCCTCCAGCTTTATCTAATTTTAGACCTCAAAACGCATGACTCACTGAAGTTGCTGAGAAGCACACATCAGATGCACAGGAGGGAATTTGCTGGATAACTTGCACTTGGCTACTGCCTCACGTTCACATCCAAGACAACTTCTCACCAAAGCAACTCCTGGCAACGGTCTTCCTCTCGGTCCCACATCCTTGCAAAGACTCTGTAA